CCCTCCCCAGGCCCACCACCCGCCAGCCGGCGGCCCGTCCCGTCCACACAACAGCAGGACACTGACCCCGCGGCCCCGGGGACAGGCCTTCAGTGAGGCCCGGAGCTGAGAGGCCAGATGCCAAGGAGCACGTGTGTGGGGCCCCAGCTCCACGAAATGTCCCGACGGGAACCCCCAGGGACAGACCGCAGGCTGGCGTCGCCGGGCAGAGGGCCCGGGCATTCCCTCCAGGGCCATGAACATCCTGAGCTTAGAGGCTGGTGGCTGCTCCGCTCTGGGGTGTCTTGAGACCGCGATGTGTGCCCCCCCCATGCCCAGGCCCCCCAGGGTGCTGCCGGGGCCCAGAGGTGTCCACACAAAGGCGGCCCAGTGCCAGCTGGCAGCCCCCCAGGACCATAGGCCCAGGGAGGTCCCCTGCCTCAGTTTCCCTGACACAGGCCAGAGCCCCTTCCTAGCGGCAGGACGGCCGGACACGGGGGGAACGGAGCGGGTCGCCCACAAACCGCAGACTCAGCGCCCTTGAGCCCACGTCTGCGCAGCGCCATCTCTCGGGTCCTCCCCGCCGGGTGGAAACCCACCATTGACCGTCACTGCTGGTGCCACCTCGGCTACGGGGCTGCCCAGGGGATGCTCTCGGGCCCCTGACCTCGGAGTTAGGGGGCGGGGTTCATGGACCCGCGTGTGGCTCAGGTATTTGAAAGCGTCGGGCTAGTTTCCAGAAGAATCGTAACACGTGCGCTTCTGCCTCCCCTGCCCCGTGCCTGTGGGCCCAGGAGCCTCAGCGGTGCCGGGAGAGGGGCCCTGCCCTGGGGCTCACAGCCTGGGGTGCGTGACACCCCCTCCTGCCCGAGCCACCAACCCTCTGGCCCAGCTTGAGTCCTGAGGCTCCAAAATCAGGCAGCCCCAGACCCCCGAGAGCTGGGAGACAGAGACCCAGGGAAAGGGGGGTCAAACTCACTTTCTGGAGGATGCTGGGGGGAAGGGCGCCACCCCCCGGCCACCCGGGCCCTAGGGCTGCCGGTCCCAGCTCCCAGGAGGGCGCAGCGTCGGCCGGAAGAGGCTGCTGCCAGAGGCGAGGGCGCTCCGGGCCCCTGGAACAATGCCCCGCTTGTGCCCTGGCAGCTGAGCCACCTGAGCTGTGACCGCAAGTCCCAGCCCCGGGGACGTCCGAGCCTTATCGGACATCACAGCACCGTCTGCAGCAGCCAGGTGCCCGGGACACGCAGGAGCTGGGAGCCCTGCCAGGGGTGAGCCTCGCAGAGGGCACGCCCGGCACACGGAGGCAGCCCGCAACTGGGCACAGACCTCCCCCCGCCCACAGGCTGGTCCCAGTTGGCACCTGTAATGAGCTGGGGTGGCTCAGGTGGCCCAACAGCCGAACCCAGGCCAGGCCACCCCCCCCCCAGGACTGCACAGGGACGGCACCAGGGTGGGCAGGATGCACTGGGCGATGGCCACCGTCCGGCTGCCCAGGCTGGCCCCAGGCGGCAGGGAACGGGTGCCCCGGGAAGCCTGAGAGCAGGGCAGGTGGTGGGAGGCCAGGGAGACACTGCGCCCGGCCCGCCGTCCGCACCACCGGCCTCGGCCTATCGGAGCCTCACGTGCTCCTGGCTCCACGTCTGCTGAGGCTCGGAGGCCACCAGGCAGGACTGACCCACACCCTGTCCTCAGCGCCTCTCCCCAAACCAGGAGAAACTCGGGGGAGGGGACAGCACAGGCAAGGGGACAATGCGGGCACAAGGTGGAGGGTCTATGCCCGCTGCTGACGCAGGGACAAGGGGGGATCACTCACCCTGACCCCTCGCTCAGGGCCTGACCACTCAGCACAGACACAAATTAGAGATTCCGTCCCAGAGCCTCCTGGGCAGGGAGGGGTCCGGGGATCCCCGGCTAGGGACACGTCAGGCCAAACACCCCACTGCACCCCCAAGAGGTGACAAGGGCGGCTGACAGTGGTGTCCGTGGGCCGGGCCACGCTTCTCTGTGGGGTCCTGCCTGGGCCACACCTGGTGTCGTGGGCAGGTGGGCACAAGCCACTCAAGGGCCCGCTTCTTCCTGTTCACTCCAGTCCTCACGTGAAGCCTGAGATGTGGGTCTGTCCCTCATCACAGGGGAGAGAAGAGGGTTCAGAGAGGGCGAGGGACTGCCCGAGTCACACAGCACCAAACACCCGCAGGGAACCAGACTCCAGCCCAGGCCCCTCGCACCACAGCTGCCCGGGGTCAACCGGGAGCTGCAGGCCCTCAGGCTTCCCTGCCAGCCGACAGGCTGCGCTGGGCCTGGCAGGGGGCGGACAGGCTGCCCTGGGCCTGGCAGGGGGCGGACAGGCTCCAGCAGGAGGACCGTGGGCGGCCCAGCCCTCGGGTCACGGCCGTCACTGCAGCCACCTGCGTGCCCGTCACAGGTTGGCTGGAGCACCCAGCACCCCCGGGAGGGGCTCGGCGCTGGGCTGGAGGCCAGCAGGGGCAGGGCCTCAGGCAGAACGGGAAACCCGACCAGGGCCCAGCTGGCTCCGGCCCCCAGAGTGTCACCTCCACTAAGCCTGGCGACATGGCCGGCCTGTGATAAGAAACCCCTCACAGTGTATATTTAGAAGGTGCCAGAGAACAAACTGAAGTGACCTCCCAGACAGGGCCTTTATCTGCCCCAGGACGCACATCGTCTCCCCCAGAGAGGATCCTGCCCAGCACGGAGGGGCCCACAGGCCGCCCCAGGCGCACCTGCACCCACTCTCCCTGGGCACGGCCTGGGTCAGGGGGGCAGCCTCGGCTGGGAGCCGCTGGCCTTGCAGGCCTCCCGCGGGTGGGCCTGGCAGCCAGGGCCTCCCCGCTTCCTCCTGGCGCGAGGAGGCACAGCAGGCGGCCCTGTCCTTCAAACAGGGCACCTGTGAAGGCCAGAGGCCCGGGCGGGGCTCCCGGCTGCCTCGCCCAGGGCCCAGGAGGAGCGAGGCGGGAGGGCGACAGGACAGTGACCCCGCGGCCGCAGCCAGGACGGGTGTGGGAACTGTGTGCCTCCTGAGACCTCCCTCCACGTGTCCAGCCTGCCTCGGGTTGTCCGGTCTCTAGCGGAAGGAAAACTCCCAACGCCCAGCGTAGAGGCTCCGCCCCTCCCAGGGCTCCCTGGGCACTGAGCTGCCGTGAGCCCTCCTGGAGCCTTAGCTTCCCCGCTGGGAAGGAGAATGCGTCAGGGTGCTCACTAAGGGTCACCAAGGCCCTGACGGCCATCAGACCGGCTGCACCATTCCCCGTGCCAGCCACAGTCCCAGCTGCTCACGATGGAGTGGGTGGCAGCCCCAGGGCCACAGGGCCCCATGCGGTGCCACCCGGCCCTACTAGCAGGAGCTCACAGGGAAGGCAGCCTCCCAGGGGTGACCACCCACCAGCTGCCCCCGAGCACACACCCTGCAGGCCAGGGGCAGCGAGGGCCTTGAAGTGGCAGGTGGGGGTTCCAGCTGGGGACCCGCTTCTGCTCTGAGCCCTGCACCCTCTCCCACTGCCCTCTGAAGGGGCGATCCGGGGGGCTTCTCAGAGGTAGGGGCCTAGTCCAGGCAGAGGGAACAGCATGTGCAAAACCCGGAGGAGAGAGCACAGTCCACACAGACTGCAGAGCTCAGGCACTTCTGTCCCCGGGCACCAGGGGGCAGCAGAGAGGAAGCAGGGGAGCCAGGCCTTTCCTGCCGGCCTCCGACCCGGGTGCCATGACATTGGGGCCGCAGACCCCGAAGACCCCTGGAGACACCATAAGGCCTGAGCAGCTGACCCTAGAGGAGCCGTGGGCACCAGGTGCCACCTCGAAGGCCCGGGAGCTGCAGCCTTCCCGCCCTGGAGGGGGAAACTGTGGCTGGCGAGGCTGTGCCAGCGCCCGGCGCAGCTCCTACCCCCGGGGGCCCTCGCTACACACCCACGAGGTGAGGTCCCCTCAGCCTGGGATCCAGCTGTCTGGTCAAACTCCGGCCCCTGTGTGTCTACGGTTGACACAGACGTCAGGCTCTGAGTGCGCAATCGCCCTCTGTGACCCGGTGGCCTCTTCAACCAGTGGGTGGCCTCCAGAGCAGGGACGGGTCCCCAGCATCCTCTCCCTGCTTCAGGCCTGCAGACGCCCCCTCCCAGGCCCTGCACTGGGACAGGGACCAGGCGGGCCGGCCGTCTCCCCACCTGCCCGGCAGGAAAAACCACAGTCGGCTCCCCACCCCAGGAAGGCCCTCTGCTGACAAAAGAAAAACCCCATGACAGGGACAGCTGGCGGGAGCGGGAGGCGCCAACCCGCACAGCCTCGGGCAGCCTCCTAAACGGGGCCCTTCACCTGGGCGCTGCGGGCGCTGTTTCTCCCTGGAAATTCTGGGGATCGGCGGGGACGGGGACTCCGCCAGCCTCCCGCTGCGGTCGCGGTCACAAGGCGACCAAGGAACAGTGGCTGTGCTGGAGGGGGCCAGGCCTCGGCTGTGGTGCCCCCAGGGCCCAGCAGGGCGGGCCTCAGGTGGCGGTACCCCCACTCTGGCCACAGGAGAGAGACTGCCGGGCACAGCCGGACGCAAGCTCGCTGCAGGGATCCCCGGAAGCCTCCAGACAGTGGGATAAGGCGCAGTCAGGGGTGGGGCCGGGGAGCAGCCTTGGTTCCCTGACTGCCCGCCGCGGGGCACATCCGCTCTGCTGCTGAGCCCACGCCCAGCCCCAGCCCTCTCCCCGTCGGGCTGCGGCTACCCCGAGGGCGGCCAGACCGGGGCCAGTCACCTGGGCTGCGGGCCCCAGACCAGCAGCCGCTGCCGAGAGCCAGTCCGCCTCCCCGCCATGGGAGCCCCTGCAGCCCCTTGCCAGGCCGGCAAGGTCCATGCGCCAGGCCCTGCGCCGAGGGGACCAGAGCTTGCTGACCAGATGGCTCAGAAAGCTGTCCTCGCCCACCGTCGCCTCAGCTCGGCCGTGGGGGCCACACCAATGACTCCCTGTGACCCCAGCTAGGGAGGAAGCTGAGCCCCACACGCCCAGGGCGCTGGGTTGGGTCTGGGCCCCACAGCCAGACTGCAGATGACACCCCAGACCCAGCCTGGGGGGGGGCCCGCACGGCTCTGAGACAACCCCATGAGGTGCCGGCAGGGTCCCCGGAGCAAGTGGCCCTGTGCCTGGCCCTGCAGGGGGCACGCGGGCAGGGCTGGCCTAGAGCTGGGTACTTGGGGGCCTGGGCGCCTGTGCGGATCGAGTGGTCAGAGGGACAGGTGTCTGGCACGTGGCAGGTACTTGACACTGGGCTTCCCATGGCCATCCGGGGACAAGACAAATTCTTGCCCACTCGAGCCGGCGCTTATGAAGGGTCAGCGTGTCCAGGAAGCGCCTGCTTCCTGTCTGTCCAGCTGGCCTGAGACAAACAGCGCAGGCCCTCGGCGCTTCCTCCCTGGCCTGTCCCTGTCCTCAGCTGTACCCTCCGCCCCAAACACACACCAGGCTCTGTGAGGAGGCCCCGCACAGGTCCTGGACTTCTACCCCGGCCACCAAGCCAGGCCCCGCCGTCCCCCGGGCGGGACCACGCGGCCGGAGGGCGGGAGCGGCTGGCTGTGCGGCCGCGGCCTCGGTGCTGCTCCCCAGGGCCAGCGAGGGCTTGCTCAACGCCGGATGCAACTGGCAGTTTTATTTCGGTCTCGGCATCCTCGGTCCCGCCAGACGGTAGCGGCTCAGCCCCAGAGGCGGGTCAGCTCCTGCACCCAGTGCTGCTGGCCGAGCGGGAGCACAAAGACACAGGCCTGTCACCTGCCACCAGCTGCCCAACACCGAGCGAGAGCTCTCAGGCCGAGGGGGAACCAGGACTCAGCTAAGACAGGGCCTCATCCGCCAGAGGCCAACTGTGAAGGACGCCTGGGCCTGGTGAGGCCGCTCTGGCCCCGTGGCAGGTTTTGGAAACCAGGATAAGTTGGTGCCAATCGGCACCCCTGGGAAACCCTCCAGTGGCACCCCAGGTGCTCAGAATAAAATAGACGCTGCTTGCCCTGCTTGTGACGCCCACAGGGTCTGCCCCTCACCCCAACCCCAGCAGCAAAGCACTGACTGTGTGCCTGTCACCATGCTGGGCTCCAGGGACAAGGCAGACACGGGGAAAAGACAGTAAAACAGAAAACAATGCACAGTGATGGCCGCCTGGGGCAACAGAAGGGGCCGTCACAGTGCGTGACAGGGTGGGGGGCTGTCAGTCACAGTGAGTGACAGGGTGGGGGGCTGTCACTGTGAGCAGCGGGCAGGAGGGCTGCTCTAGGAGGTGACACAGGAGCTAGGGCTGAGCATGGAAACTCCTGGCAGAGGAAACTGTCGTGCAAAGGCCCTGAGGCAGAGTCCGGTGGGCCCGAAGGCCAGGTGCTGAAAGCAGGACAAGGACCTGGGAGCAACGACCTGGGAGTCGACAGCCCTGAGGTGAGAGAAAGGCCAGGCCCGGGGCACCCCACAGGCCGAGGACAGGCGTCACGGAGACCAGGCCCCCGGGACCAGCGGACACGGGCTCTGGGCTGGGGTCAGCTGTTTATCAACCCGGCTCCTGGCCAGGGCCCCAGAGACCCCAAGCGGACGTCAGTGATGCTCCTCTTTCGTGTTACACCAACCAGAGGCTGGAGGAAAATGTCAGGAGCTTTGAACCCCAGGAAACCAAAGCCGGAGGCCGGACGCATCCAAGGAGAAAGAGACGTCAGCAGCTCGTCCGTCCCGGTCACCATGCGCCACCACTGCGGGCATCTCCCAGACAGGGCTGCCCGCCACCTCCCCGCCCCTGCCATCCC